GTTCAAGCATATGTCAAAACATGCGAAATTTGTAATAAGACAAAATATGAAAGTCAACCCTATAAAATAATATTCAAACCAACTCCAATCGGTTCAAAACCCTTTGAACACCTTTATATTGATACATACGTAGTTTCGAATCAAAAATTCCTAACAATTATTGACAGCTTTTCGAAGTTTGCACAAGCTATCCCAATTATTAGCAAAACTTCAGTTGAGATTGCATCACAATTAATAAGATATTTCAGTGACCATGGAATTCCACAAAGAATTACTTCCGATAACGGAACTGAATTTAAAAACGCAATTGTAACAGATTTATGTACTTTACATAAAATCGAATTCCATTATACGACACCTCGAAACCCTAATTCTAATAGTCAAATAGAAAGGCTACATTCTACCCTGAGAGAAAGTCTAACAAGCTTGAAATTACAAAGCCCTAATAAAAACATTAATGATTTAATGGTAATTGCAATCTTGAATTATAATAACAGCATACATAGTGTTACAGGTTATACACCTTTCCAAATAATTAAAGGCGATTTAAATTATTCAATACCTATTGAAAATGCACAAAATAAGATAACCACAGATTATATTAATAATCTTGCCGAATCATTAGAATCTCTAAATAATGTAATTCATGACAAATTAATATCAAAACAAACACAAAATTTAGAGAAAATCAATAAAAAACGTGAAAAGGAACCTGAATTAAAAGATCCTATTTTTATTAAGCAATTTGACAGAAATAAAATTAGTCCTCGTGATGGTGCTAAAACACAAGTCAGATTTAGTATACAAATGGTAGAGCGACAACATTTTGTTTCAGAAAAACCAAAATGTTCACGGCAGCTTTCATCATCCTCCTCATAGGACTTTCCAGTAACGCCTACACATTAACTCCATTAAGAAATCCTATTTTACCGATTTCTATAGGAACCACTTACATCACAACACAACACAACACAACACTGCATGTTATCACAATAATACTACCCTTATTGGAAACAGTATTAAAACTCTCGAAATAACTTTAAAGAATTTAAACAATACTTTAAATTTAACCAAATGGTCTAATGAAGACGAAATTGTTACTTTATTACAAGTAAATATTGAAACTAGTCAAAGAAATTTATAAAACAATTTTCACACGATCGAATTAAACGTGGAGTATTAAATTTTATTGGTACCGCACAAAAATGGTTGTATGGTACATTAGACGCAAATGACAGCGATAAATATGATTCTTACATTCAAACATTAAATGAGAATCAGCAAACTATCGATAAAAATCTAAAAGATCAAGCAAACGTACTTAAACAAGTTACGAAAACATTTCATGATCAATTTTCTACTATCAAAAATAATCGGATAAAAATCTCAGACAAGATAGGAAATATTTCGACGGATAATCAAAATATTCAAACTATCTTAATGATGAATCTAATTTTAGAAAATATTAATATGCACAGTAGTAAGCTACGCGAAATTATTAGCCACATACAAAACGCAATGAGCTTTGCACGCGTAGGCATAATGCACTATACAATTCTGCAGCATCATGAGTTAAATTTGATCTTGCAAACTATACCCGAGAGAGAACAAATACCCTTTGATAACGTAATTAAATACTATGAGACAATGTCCTCTCATGTTATTATTCAAAAGGAATTAATTTTTTTACTATATTCACACCAATAATTAATCCTAAACCTTTTATATTGTATAAATTATTATTATATCCTATACCCATCCAAAATTATACAATTAGTGTTAAGTATTTTTACCTTTTACTTACCACAGACACGTATTACAACGCTTTACAAAAATGTCCAAATGTTGAAGACATTTATTTGTGCAAAATGGAACTATTGAAACAAGATGAGCCCTGTGTTCACGACATTGTATCTAGTGAACAACAATTATGCCCATTCACGGAAATTCAATATGAAGAATCGACAATTGAAGAAATACCCAATAATCAAATATTGGTTATTCCAAAACGACATATGACAGCAATGCTGCAATGTGACTAGAAGAAGTACATGGAAATCATTTGCAGTCCAATCGTAATTTCCAAAGGTAAATGTTCAATAACAATTAATAATCGAACATTTTTGGAAGACACGCATGAGAACTTCAACCTAGAACTAGAACTACCCATCATCGAGATTCCTGAACTTCTAGAGAATATCACAACTGTAAGACTAAAAACAGTCGACCACGAAGCTCTTCAATCAGCGATTAAAGAAGCAAACAGTTTAAAGACTGACCCATTAAAAGTGTTAGATTTTATAACCAATAATGTGTCAACCTATATTATAATCATAGTATTAAGTTCTATTTGCATAACCATTATTCTTATTCTATATTTTAGAGGAAAATGTACTAAAACTAAAACTGAGGTGCAGATTGAATTGCCCAACATTGTTAGTCAATCCCAATTTGCAACCACTTAAGAAGGGAGGAGTTATATTGTAAGACCCTATGTTATCTTTATACCAATAATTCTCCTTTCCTATGATAATTATAAGCGTACGCCTATGTTAATACTAATAAATATATAAAACTGCTTAATCAGCGGTACTGCACTGGTAGTACCACCATCTGCCTAGGAAACTACTTGGATCAGCAAATATTTATTATTTAAGCCAGCGCTTTCCAGTAAGGAGCGTTCATTTGTTTTCAGGCACTCCCTGTAGCAATTTGATCCACATATTTTTCGATTATCACTATTGTATTTTAATTAATAAAATAAATGTTTTTTAAAAATACAAGTTTCTGAATCGAAAATATAATTCACCCTATAAAAAAATTAAATTAAAAAAAATATGTTTCTCCGACGCCACGATTTGCTTTAAATAATTCATTTAGAGAATATCTGACCATAATTTTCAGAAAAAAATGGAAAAAAACCGATAAGTCCTTATAGTAAACAAATACGCCTGGGGTAATTGCTCGGGTAATTGTTTAGTATGCGGCAATCAAAAAAAACCTAGATAAAAACCCATAGAAAATTGAAATTAATGAAACATTCATTTCCGACACCATAATTTGTTTTAAATAATCTATTTGAACGATACCTAATGGTTAGTTTCTAGTAAAATAGCGATAATAGCATAAGTCTGTATAGTATACTGTTAAATTTAAAAATGGTGTTAGGTATGATTTTATATAGAACAGATTCTTATCTGAAATAATTTATTTCTCATTAAAAATCAGACTTGAGACTAAAATTTTGTTCGAAAAAGTAAACAAATCGAAAATTTATCTCTTGCGAAATCATAATATTATATCAAGTATTATAATAAAACTATTGGAGATTCCGGTTGGGTTTTTATCCGACCACCTCTTACCGAGGAAATATTTCTTGTGTCTAGAGCTCCCCCGAGCACTCTCAAGGATGATGCACACTACTACTAGCCGACTAGCCCTTATCCCTATAAGGCCTGTGTCACAGCCTCCTACATTTAACAAGCCATGAAGTTAAAAAGGCAACACCGCAATCTTACCGCCAAGTGGTGCTGGTGGTGTTTGTTTTTATAAATATATATTTTTTATTTTAATAATATGAATCACGAAAAATGCATAATTTATTGTACTAAAGGGCCAAAAACAGTAATTCAATGAATAATATAACTATTTGTGTAAATAAGAACAGTAAATAATTGATTTAAATGAATATATTTCTAGAGTCTAAAGTGTTATAGGCCTATGTTTCAGTATGTCTTTTGAAAAATCTAACTTTTTCTTTCTTCGGGATTTTTTCGGAAGGCAGGTCCATTCAAATACTTGAGCTGATTTTCGAAAATAAGAGGTACCTACTTTTAAGAGTTGGACGTTTCAGTTTGAACTCTCGAACTACGCCTTTATCCTTGTTTGTTTCAAATCTAATTATTTCGGTTTCTTCAAAATGTTTACAACACACCACAGAATTTTTCGTTATTGTATAATCTTGGGTATAATTATCTTGGTGTATTGCTTTCATCCACATTTTTTGCAATTCAGAATTTTTTTGGAAATGAAAATGTTTGCATTTCTTCAGTTTTTAAGGAACTCCTAATAGGAACACAGTAGTTCATGGCATCTGGAACAAGTTTAAATATCTTAGGTAATATATCGAGACATAATATGCTCTTGCAGACAAATATTAATATTGTTTTTATTGTTTTATCTCACCTTACCTTCATTTTTGCTACTGTACCCATTTGCTAAAAAATTGCAATCAAAGCACAAAGGAACAGGTATCAACTAAATATGGGCAATATATTGGTGTGTTTCTATCCACTTTTTCGTCAATAATGCCCACAAAAATACTAAACTGCAACAATACACAATGAAAGCAATACACAGAAACACATAACCCAATAACAAAATAGCACCATACGCGACGTTGCCGTCATTTCCAACTTCATGGCTTGTTAAGTATAGGAGGAGGAGGCAGTGCCTGTGTAGATCAAATCTCGAGCCCACCACCACGCCAAAGAACCAGTGATGACGTAGGCAGCGTGTCGTTTCTCGCCTTGATGTAGGATGTTGGCACCACAGATTTCGCGGACTTTTGCTTTAAGCATACATGGTTTTTATACATCAATTAACATTCTAAAACAACGCTTTTTTAAATATCGTTTGCATCCTCCTCTTTGCCTATTATGTTCATCAAAATTAAATAATATTTATCATCATAAATGTATATTCTAAACTATGACCGCTGGCGCAAACAGCGGACGACATCGTTGATGACGTCGACAATGGTGCTACACAATATGGCAGTGATTCCCAAAAACGAGGCCGATGAGCAATCCGGTGTTCTAGTAGCAACATTAAACAAAAAATTCTGCTTAATATTCTTTTAATATTTTAGCATCGACGCTCCATCTCTTGGAGCAACGTAAAACTCAATTTGTCTAGGTTCCTAGCTTTATTGGTAGTTTAATGGCAGGTAGCGCCATCTATTATTGATGGCTGTGACCTGACAAATCACATCAAGTTGTGCAATATTGTGAAATACATAATTTGTTTGTCAATACTTAAATACCACCAAACTTTAAATATAGATAAATCATATCATAAGGTGTAAGTCAAATCAAGTACCTACCTACTAACAAAAAAGTTTATTTTAATATTATTCCACCGATAAGATATTAAATTTTTTCTATGGGAGTATGCCCAGCTGTTTTATATAACCTATAAATCATACAATAGCCCGAGATTTAGCTACAAAAATATGTTTTACTATTATTGAAAACAATTTCAATTTAGTGAACATAATCATAAGTACCTATTGTTTAAATGTCATTTTTTGCAAGCATTCAAAATGTCTACCCAAACTCCAGAATAAAAAATATTAAATCAGCCTAAGTTGGGAACACCACAAAATTGTAGTTGGGTGGAGATAGATACTCACTGACGCAGCGTTCTCGTCGATGACTGCCATTTCTTGAAAATCCATTATTTTTATAAAGACACTATTTTTAAGGCAAAATTTCGCGAAAAAACTTGATAAAACTGTACACAAAAAATCACAACAACGACAACGTGCCTGAATATTTACAAACACATGCAAGGCAAGGTCATTCTCTGCTGTGACGTCGGATGAGGACGAGAGCGTTCGGAATCCGTGTGGGAGTTATAGAACATACTCGTTTCAATACCGTATAGACACTCAACCGTTAAATATTTTTTATATCTTCACCAACGGTTTTTTTTTTCTTTGTCGGCGGATGGAAAAACTGATAGTTTTGCCGTAGCTAGGTGAGATAAATATTTATATTGTGTAGAGACTTATGAATATAAATAACGGGTGCGTCACGAAAACGTCCCACATTTCAAAGTTGAATAACTATTTTCAGATGGGAATATCTAATCGGGATTTTTATTCCAGGGTCTTTCGAAAGAGAAATTCAAAACGATCTATTTCAGGACGATTACGAAATTTCTACCTAGTAGGTATACATCGCCTCCATTTTGGATTTTAATGTGACAATACCTACTTAAACATAAAGACCTCTTAAATGATGTATATACAGGGTTAGTAAAAAGTATCGCATCGCTCAAATATCTTCAAAACCCTGCTGCAGCTACGTTCATAAATTCGGTACCAATCTGGAAGTTTCTGGGTACGCGAAATTGAACAGTGATATTGGCACCACAGCATACCTATACAAAAACAATCAGCAGGTTAATTCTCACGCGTATTTTTTCTGTGCACGCCGGCATTCGAGGATACAGCCTAGGATTAAACGACAGGGGCTTGAGATTTAACGCGCATCTTTTCTGCGCACGCCGCCATTTAAGGATACAAAAGCTTTGTTCCTTCCCAGCAGGAAACCGTAATATTACCGTCAGGATTCTGCGCAAAACCTAATTTTTTTGCGTAGAAACCGAAATTCGTATACAGAGTGGTTCCGAAACCGTTCTGGGATGGTTTTTTGACGGGTTGGAACAAACCTAAAGCTCGAGCATTGAACTAAACAAACACTCTGGAACGGGCGCACTGCTTTATGCTAGTGTGCCGAATTTTGATATATGCAACCCAGCAATACAGAGGGATTGTTGTCTCGCTCGCACTCATTGCGATTAGCGTAAAAGAAAGAAGAGCTTCTTCATCTTCCTAACCTCAATGATCCAAACACTTCAAACAGCTGTTCTCAATAGCCGTCATAGTGCAGAGAGAATGCAAATCCCTCTTGTTTGTTGTCCTTCCTGGCACAAACCCTTGCGTTGAAACATTATGCAGCCACCGTTCCAGTGTGTTTGTTTAGTTCATTGAGCTTGAGTTAGCCTGCAGATTGTCTTTGTATGCTGTGTTGCCACGTTGCAAGATTTCCCAGTTTAACGCTAAAAATTTGTTATTTTAAATGAATGAATGTTTATTTCCATTGCAATGAATTGGGCATATTATGAAATTATTGAAATTTGGTAAGATTCCAAATTTTTCTAAATTCTATCTTTAGTATACCCTTCCAGGGAAAACAGTCCACCCTGAAAATCTTTGAAAATAAATTTTCTAGCCTAAAACGGCCGGGCACGTCAAATTTAATATTGAGGAGGCATGTTATGACATTATACCTGCGTTTCTCTCCCTTCATCCCCCTACCCACCAGAACCACCCCAGTAATTTTTTGAAATGGGAAAAGGGGTTGAGTATTACCTTGATTAAAATGTAATTTTATTCACTATATGACCCTGTTTTTGTTTTTGATTTTTATCGATTTGTTCTTAAGAAATATGGATGATCCTGTTTTTGTTTTTGATTTTTATCGATTTGTTTTTAAGAATTATGGATGATCGACTCTGAATATTAATTCAAATCATTCTTGTATTAAAGAAGATGGAAAGTTTACAATTATTTTTTTGAATGTTGAAAATTTTTTTCATTGATCTCTATACAGAAATACAATTGGTTTTCACATGTCCTCATAAGAAAAAAATCCAAAGGCGTAAGATTGGGAGATCTAGCAGGCCTGCGATGCACCGAATTACTTGAACAAGATGATAAACTTCTAGAAAATAAATTGATGTTTCAGTAAGATGGGACACCTCCACATTACGCTGCTCCTATTCGTCAGTTTTTGGATGAAGAATATCCTACACGATGGATTAGCCGGAGAGGTACTGTAGGATAGGATGGCCCTGCTAGATCTCCCAATCTTTTTCCAACATTTGATAAAATAATTGTAAACTCTCTATTTTCTTTAATAAAATTAATGATTTGAATTAATATTCAGACTCGATCATTCATATTTCTTAAGATGGAACCGATAAAAATAAAACACAAAAAAGGGTCATGTAGCGAAAAAAATCACCTTTAATCAAGATGTCACCCAACCCCTCTTCCCCAAAAAAAAAAATATATTTAGGGTGGCTCTGGAGGGTAGGGGGATAAAGGGAGAGAAACTCATATCGCCTCTAAAGTTAGAAACGATTTTACCTGGAAGTGCTTTTAAAATATCATGTAGAATACGACTGTTGGTCTACATATAAATCAAGCACACATCATATATGATAGACAATAATATGTTGATATTAAAGTATAACAATTAGAAATAGTTTCACAAATAATAATCTAAGCTCACATAATTCACATTAATTTTTTCATATACAAGTCACATCGAGCAACACTCAAACCATAAAATAGTTACAGTACCCTTTTTTTTATTTCTTGATTCAAAGCAAATAACGGTTTTACCGTTTTACCCAAGGTTTTACCCCAGTCACCTCCTGGACTGAAATAGTCTTTGCATGTAAGATTAGTCAACACAGAAACCAGACATGTGACAATAATTATCGATTGAAAATCTACACTCTACACACTTATTCTCCAACTGAGGAAACTACGGCATTGTAACGATAAATCAAGACAGAATATTACGCTTGTCTATGACACGGTTTGTATTTGAAACTCAGACGAAGGATTGGACCGATTGACCGATACATTACTAATTAGCAGGAAATTATTAACTTTAAGACGCGGGACTGGACTGATACCTCACTTAAAATTCAAAAGGATGTTTTTTTTTCTGTAGCCTCGATGAGATTCGCACTGACTTCTTTATTTCTTATCTGCACGCAACTCCCGGCTGACGTCGCGCCTGCCGCGTTACCATAGCTACCGTCTTGAAATTTGTCTAGAGAAACTTGTCAGAAACTGTGTATGTATGAAGAGAAGAAAGAAGGCAAAGTTTGGTTATCGGCCTGATAGAGGAACCTTCGCAGTCGTTACTTTGTCGTCACGTCCTGGCAAGGCTCTGGTTATTCTGGCTATAGGCCATTTTAATGGGTAGCTTGCGTCATGGGCTAGAAAAACTAGATATCCAACTTTCAAATTTCGTTGTGGATCAAGTCATTTAGTTTTTTTTTGCAGATAAAAGTATACTTTATCACTTATCTTTTCTAGAAACTCTGTTTAATTTGTAAACCTTTATTCCAACGATTTAACCGATTTTCTGGAACGGTAGTAATAACTTTCTCTCGTAAAGGAGGTGCACCTATAAGGAAGTTGGCGAGGCAAAAGATCTGTTAGATCATTACTTGAAAGACAAATTGGTCGAGGAGTTTATAGTCGCTTCAACTCCGTCATTGAAGAATGGTCTTTAAATCTGTCAGAATTTGAAATGCAGGTTGGGCTCTGAATCTAAAACACGTATGGCATTTTTTAATAACGCGTGTTAATTCTCGTAAGTCATCAATCGGCTAATACTTTAATCGGACGTTCGCTAGCACATTTGGTGCACCAGCGTTATAAAGTCTGAAATGCTCCTTTTTATGAAAAGTTGAACTACTTCACTTTTGGAAGGAAGCAGTAAAGGAGTTTTGTGCTCGTAAACTATGTCCGCGTTTAAGAAACCTCAACCTCCACTACTAGCATTTCCGATTCGTCCAATATGGGTTTAAGGCGCCTTATCGCTTTGTTTTTAGAAATTTGACCGGAATGCTATTTTAATTCTTTAATTTCTTGGGAAAAGTACTCAGTTTGGGACTGTTTTCATAATACAGGTTTCTGAGTTTCGTAACTCGTTTGTAGATATAGAATCAATCTTTCTGGCTGGCATTAGGATTTCCAAAATTGTGTCTGGCGCTAAAACAGTAAGCGATAGGTAACTCTTTGTAATATATGTACGAAAGGAAGAAAACGTTTTAAAATATTCATAACGTCAGAAATTACCTCGGTGTTTAAATGAAATGCAGAGGATTTCCTTTCTTCGGGAATATCAGTCACTTGTCAATAAAATCGAAATTGGAAAAGTCAATATTAGTCTTCAGTAATTGGGCCTTGCCACCACAAATTTGCAAAGCCGACTTCGGTGTGGACGCGACTCCTGAGCTCAAGTGGCGTGCCGCCACGTGACAAAATATATGCTGTCGGGATATAATGCCAAAAGTATTCCTTTGTCAGTTTTTGAATTTCAGCTATTCTGTCAGTTCATAGATGACAGATGTACAGAATTTATTTGAAATATTAGTGTAATTTTTTTGACAAGTTTGGCCATTAACTATAACTGCGCACCGCGCAGTTCTATTCTGGGTAAGGCTAAGAGTTTGAGAGAGGCTATTCTACTTTTGGAATTTTGGCTAACAATAAAGGGGTTTATCCGAGGGGTGATTCACTGTGTTTTATTTTTCCGAAAATAGATGGAAAAAGCAGTGAGTGAGTTGTGAAAGGAAATATTTGCAATCCCTTGAAGATGAAATGTTATGGCATTCGGCCCCGAAAGTCTTTTCGTGCTATCGGATTGATAAACCCGAGAGTTAACCAATATTCTTAATAGTGTGATAGTTTTAATAATAATAATTAATAATTCCTGAATAGTGATAGTTTCTTCTATTGTCATACGTATACCTTTTCCGGGAAATCGGGATCAACTGTAGGTGGAGCTATTATACTAAGGTGCGTGCTATTCGCGCTAGCCAAAAACCCCAGGATAATGATGGATCTGGAAAAAGCTGAAATTTTTTCAAAACATTTCATTTAGGTCCAGTTGTACAGTCCAGGCCCCCAATTCTTGAATTATCTCGCATACGAAAATTGATATGAATTCGAATGTTTCCTATTCAATTTACGTTGC